CTGTAATGCTTCCGTAACTTTGTTTACTCTCGTTCTCCTGCAATGCTTCCGTAACTTTGTTTACTCTCGTTCTCCTGCAATGCTTCCGTAACTTTGTTTACTCTCGTTCTCCAGCAATGCCTCCGTAACTTTGTTTACTCTCGTTCTCCTGCAATGCCTCCGTAACTTTGTTTACTCTCGTTCTCCTGCAATGCTTCTGTAACTTTGTTTACTCTCGTTCGCTACTAACATTGAGTTCCAAGTTGCAGTAATGATGGTTGATAATACATTCATGACGCTCCTTCCCTAAAGTTACTGTTTTCTTATGATTTCGTGAAAAATTTCAAGACAACAGTAGGAGTTTATTTGTAATTTATTTTGATATAAATGTAATTAACAGAGTTCCTGATTAAAAAAAAAACTCTCGAAGTGCTTAACATTAGCAAGAAATCATATATTTTAACGGGCATTTTATAATAAGATTTTCACTATTTAATACCAAGAAAACTTTAGTCGAAATGAGCAGACTGTATGATATGAATATGACCAGGTGGTTTCTACCCAGTTACTGTGTGTAGTTGATAAAGTAACCTGTTTGAATACAGTAATTAAACATCAGTGTTTTGTCGATATATATATCAAAAAGTAAGAGCGAACTCTAGGGCTGAAATTGTAAATTACCCTAATCACTACACACATACGAATTCCTCTTTGCTTGAAGTTTGAAACTAACAAATTTAATAATTTCTCGCTCATTAATTGTGAGCTCTTCGTGTGGTAGAATTTGCTCCAGCTTCTTGCTCATAAAAGAAAAAAAAAACATAAGACTAACAAAGATATATGCTACGAAAACACTGAGGTTCTAATTCGTATCCCCCATCATTTACTTTATTGTATTTTAATAATTACAAATTGTTCCAATTATACGGCTTCTTTAGCACGAACAGGATAGGATACGTCATGTTGTGTATGTTTTCTAGCAGGTACGAACTATTACTTAGTGAAAAACATCTTTCCCATTCATCATCATCATGTAACCATAACAACAACAAAGCTTAATTTTCGCTTGAAGCTTCACTTGAGTGTTAAAGACTTCAAGGTGTTTTTAATATATATATATTTACAATAAAGATGTATTCGTTGTACGTTTTAATGGTATTTTTATACATACAAACCTATGTGAAGTACAATAAGTATGAAACCTTAAACCCAACAGTGACACACTTTCACAGAATCTTTGGTAGTAAAGGTAATATTTGCACTACTTTCCCTATTTTTCTGCTCACTGATTTCGTGCGTGTCATAGGCGTCGGAATAAGGGGGCACGATCCCCCATTTTTCTACTTTTTTTGAACAAGTTAAAAAATTAGCTACATGTGCTCACTGACTCGATGCGTGTCATAGGCGTCGGAAGAGGAGGGCACGATCCCCCATCTTCATTATAAGAGGGCAAATTCCTATTTCGCGCCTCTCCCCCATTAATTTCGGTAGGCTTACAATTTTACCAAATTTAATTGAGTTTTCGTCCATAATAATAACTCACTACAAACAAGATTATGAACTGGAGTTTAAGCTGGAGATAAAGTCGGTCTTACCTTATTTCATCACGTATATGGTCATCGTATCTTGACCCTTTTAATTATAGACCAAAAAATGTCTGTTGTGACTAAAGTGCGTTTAACAGTTAAAATCATATCATTATCTGTTAATTAAAGGTTGAATCAGCCAGTTCTGACCATTAACCTTAATATTTAGTATTCTATCATTATAAATCCTGTAGATTACTGGTCAGAACCTGCCAGTTCATATTATTATAAATCGTGTTAACAAAAGACCGAACCAGCCAGCTCTGACTGTTACGTTTTACAGTTAGTACTGTATCGTTATAACTTGTGTTAAGTAAAGACCGAACCAGCCAGCTCTGATTAGTAAGTTTAACAGTTAATAGTGTATCGTTATAACTTGTGTTAACTAAAAACCGAACCAGCCAGCTCTGACTAGTAAGTTTAACAGTTAATAGTGTATCGTTATAACTTGTGTAAAAACCGAACCAGCCAGCTCTGACTAGTAAGTTTAACAGTTAGTATTAATAGAGAGTGGAG